AGGCTCACCTGTGACTGCTTCCTCCTCCCGTGGAGCTCCTTCTCACCCCCCCTCCCGTGAGTATTGCAGGTCCCTCTTCTTGTATTCTTCTAATCCCGTTGGCTTCAGTGGACAAACCCATGAATACAAAGAGAGTCCAATAGAAGCATATCAGATAGAACCTTTGTAAATCATACATGAATTTCCTATCTGACAGATGTGCATACCATAGTTTTATGGATTTCAGTGATAGTTGCTCCGACAAAAATATATTTAACATTGTAGTCTAAATGCACTTCTGCCACCTAGCATGTCAGTCATAGATAGAGATGCCAGCCTCCAGGTGGTGGCTGGAGATCTCACACATGAATACATGAAGCTGCCATATTCTGAATCAGACCATTGGTCTATTAAAGTCAGTACTGTCTACTCAGACTGGCAACAGCTGTCCAGCAGCACAGGCTGAGGTCTTTCACATAACCTACTGCCTGGTCCTTTTAACTAGAGGTGCTGGGGATTGAGCCTGGGACCTTCTGCAATGCCATGCAGATGCCCTAGCACTGAGCCACTACCTTTCCCAGAGATCAGTTCACCTGAAGAAAATGGCTGATTTGGAAGGTGGACTCTATGGCATTATATCCCATTGAAGTCCCTCCCCTCTCAAACCCTGCCCTCCTCAGGTTTCACCTCCAAAACCTATTTCCCAACCTGGAGCTGGCAACCCTAGTTGCAGAAGAATGGCATTTCCCCATTGCTTGAACTACACTTAGTTATTTCAGAGGAAAGGCTGTTTTCCCTCTTACTAACACTCCCAAAATTTTACAAAGCTTGGCATGCTTCCAAAACTCTACCCAGCTTACTTAGGGCTTATGGGACAAAATGAATCTCTCAGAAAGGGATGATTTTTGTGTTGGGGAAATGTCATGGTGAGCTAAAACATTATATTCTTCTATATAACTTTTTGTTGTTGTTGTTGTTCAGTTGCACAGTCAAGTCCAACTCTTCGCGACCCCATGGACCACACAACGCCAGGCCCTCCTGTCTTTCATCGTGCGCTGCAGTTTGCTTAATTTCATGTTCATTGCATCGATAACACTGTCTTAACCATCTCATCCTTTGCTGTGAAGCAGAAGTAGATGTTTTTCTGGTACTCCCTTGCTTTCTCCATAATCCAGCGAATATTGGCAATTTGATCTCTAGTTCCTCTACCTCTTCGAAACCCAGCTTGTACTTCTGGCAGTTCTCTATCCACGTACTGCTGAAGCCTAGCTTGTAGGATCTTGAGCATGACGTTGCTAGCATGTGAAATGAATGCAATTGTGCGATAGTTTGAACATTTCTTGGCATTGCCCTTCTTTGGGATTGGAAATAAACTGACCTTTTCCAATCCTGTGGCCACTGTTGCGTTATCCAAATTTGCTGGCATATTGAGTGCAGCATAGTTGAGTTCCTTCTTGTATAATACTTCTGTGTATTCTTGCCATTTTTCCTAATTTCTTCTGCTTCTGTTAGGTCCCTATCATTTTTGTCCTGTATCACTAATGGTCCCAAATATAGCAAGAAAGTTATATAATAAACAGAACAGGAAAGAAGAGCAAAAGTTTTATCTTGTTGCACAAGACACTGTACAAATAAGCCAGTGGAGGATAACAGCAGCCTGGTTTTTGAGGACTTACTGAGTACCCTATACAGCATTGAGTCTGTTAGCATCTTGTGGATAATAGCAAGCCAGTTAGCATTCTGCACAGGAAATGAAGGTAGCAATGACAAAGTAGTCAGCAGCACTTTGCACAGGGAATAAAAGGAACAACCTAGCAACCCCCTATACAATACCAAGTTCAGTTAAAAAAAGATAAAGAGGAACAAGATGGCTTCTGGCTCACTTCCAAAGAAGAAATGATACACAGTTAAACCAGAGCTCAATGCATTTCTGTTGAGAATAACACAAATTAAGAGTGAAACGAAAATTCAGAATGTCCTGTTATTGTAAACATTATATCTCTTCCTTTGCATGCAGTCAGCGTTTTAGTCATGTTGTACTATCCATGAATTAATCAGAAAGGTTTTGCAAGTCATTGATTCACAACCCATAAAGAAACTTCTGAGCTTTTAAAATCAGCTGTAGCCATTTTCCATGGACCTTCTCCATTCTTTTCAGCTGCTGCCTCTCTAAACCCAGAATATTGGGTAACATAACCAGGAGTTCAGTTTGCTGGAAGGAGATACAATAGGATAGCTATATATCATAACTGTTGAAATGGGGCAAGAACGGGATATCTTGAGCAAAGAGAAGACAGGCAGAAAAATCAGCTAACTGGTTCAAAAAAAAATCTAATGAGTGTGTCCTATCTTGCCAAAATTAAATTCAGTTAAATTGATATTTGGGTTAAAATGTTTGAAAACATGTCTGGGTGCAAGTTTTGTATTTCAAGGTGTTTACTGCATTGTGAACATTCTCTGAGTTTGGGATTGATGTAGCAACATTCTAATTTTATCCAAAATGGGGCAGGGGGGACCTTAAATTTTAGCATTCAAAAGTATGTCTTGAAATTGAGGATTTTTTAAAAAAAACAGGTTTTAGATTTTTAAACATTAAAACGATTCTTTGTAGGAATTCCATATTTGAGCAGAATACGTTTGTCAGTTTGGCTGTCTATTTAAGTGAAATATACATCATTAGAAAGTTTTAGTAGAAAAGAGCAGTAGCACCTTAAAGACTAACAAAATATGTGATAGGGTATGAGCTTTCGTGAATCACTACTCGGTGACTCACAAAAACTTATACCCTGCCACATATTCTGTTAGTCTTTAAGGTGCTACTGGACTTGCTCTTTTCTACTACTACAGAGAGACTAACATGGCTACCCATATAGAAAATCTTAGTGAAGAGAGAGAATGAAGTCCTAAGAACACTTTCTTGGGAGCGAGCATATTTACTCCCACATCTTTATAGATGAGATCCTGATCCAAATAGTCTCCATCATCAATGTAGAAGTTCATTTTAAAATGCAGTAATTCTGGTTCCACTGAAATCAATAAGAAACATCATCAGATAACTTCAGAAGGTCTCAGACTGTCAGCATCTTCCACTGGAAGTTCGCAGGATCCAAACTATTCTTTTTAAACTGAAAATTTAATATTTTTCACCAGAAAGCAAAACAGATATTAAGAAGTGTAAAAAAATCTACTAGTGATTCTCTTTCTGATTTCTATGTGACACGTGTGCAGGAATAAATAAGTGTGGGCTTAGCAGATCGTGTATGAGTAGATATTTTTCCCTTTGGCTGCTGCCTGTTTTTGTATAGATAGGCTATGATAAAAAAAGATATGAGCTTTTTCTTTCATGAAAAGTAATGGCTTGGGACACTTATTTTTAAAAATCCTTTATATTATCCACAGCATAAAATCTGGTTCTGTTTGGCTTCTAGGGCCTTGAAAGGGGAAAGTATTAAATAGTATATTCTATTATAATCTCATATTCTAACCTGACATTAAAAAATTGCTTTAAATAGAATTAGGGGTATTGTGGGTTTTATGTTGCTACTGAATGTAGCACACCAATGCACTGGCTGCAGGCAGATGCTGTCACATTCTCTTCAAGGCTTGATCACACATGCCCATTGATCACTTGATTACTCCACACAATAGAGAGTAGAACTCTTCAAAAAGTATTGTGTATGTTGATTTCAATGTGCACAGATGGGCAGCAGG